TCCATGTGGTTTCTCGGCTCTCATTGTGTTTTCATTTTTATTCTCCTGGTTGTTGTTTTCAGGAAACTGATTAACCCTCTGCTTTGATTTTCATCCTGCTTTACTGTTTCCATTCAGGATGTACACGCACAGGTTCAAAGCTACCCGAATAAATACGTCAGGGTGACTAAACCCTCCAGCTGCAGACTGGTTGAGGGCATATTTCGCTTTTCGAGTGAGCCGGAAGGAGTGGTCAGCCCTCAGGTATGCAAAACTCCATGTTCATGAATCACGAGCATCATTAGGATTGTTTCATGCTCCCAAGTGTAAAAATACTAAAGCATCAAGTTGTTTGCAGGACTTTTGTGGAACTAGATGATCTTGGAATATTTGCACTTTATCTTTTTGCAACATTTCTGCAGGACTTAGTTTTATCTTGCCGTGATTTTGTGTACGACAGCAAGGATATATTTTCCTGTCTTTTTGTAGGAGCTGGAATTTACACTAGATGGGATAGCGTTAATGGGCTTTTTCGAGGTCTTCTTTGACAAGCAGCCTCCGTTTGAATGGTTTCTAAGAAGGAAGAGCACAGATGACGTCGTCTGGTCTACCGTCATCAGAGCAGGTACCAGTGAATTTAACTCAAGACACTTTAACATCGAAAGGAATCTTACAGGACAGTGGTTTGACTTATTTTTTACTTATTCTGTTGAATACATTAGTATATTTTTAGTAGATTTTTTTTCAGGACATATTCATAATCTTGTTAAAAATATCGACAGGGCACGTAACTATGTATATTCTTTATTTTTAAGTAATTTAAAATATGGTGTTTATTGACACAACTCCTCTAATATTAGTTTACTTGTTTTACCCTTGAAGGGGGTATTTGTTCTTTTTCCATTGGTCCATTAAAGCAGTTTTCTCAACATACAATTAACATACATACAATAAAAAAAACAACAAAAGTTACAATAATAAATCTCAAGTTTTACAAAAATAAACTTAATCAATTTCTACTTGTATGCCCTTTTTTATCTACATGACATTTTACATCTGACCAATGATTTCATCCCTCCTAAAAATGTCTTAAATTTCTACTTTTTACTCATATTGCATTGAGGCCAAAAGGGTTACTAATCAGACAGTAATGTTAAATTGCCCATAGGGATTTTATGCTGGTTTGCAGTTTTATTTTTCTTAGGACATGGATGATGTCAGTCACTTTTCTTTTTGTTTTTTTCTCCAGATGACTGGCTGGCTGCATTAAGAGAAAACCCAAGGAAAAGAGCCAAATGTATGTTTCTTTTTTTATCTTTTAGTTAGATTTTCCATCATATTTTTCGGGTTTGGTCATGTTACTAACATTGTGACCATCTCTGTCCCACAGATGACGGTGAGAGTGTTTTTACGGTCTTCATCCTTTGATGACTTACTGGACAAAAAATGGATTTAGTTACTAAACAACGCCTTTCTAGTTAACTTGTCTCATTTTTCCAGATGAAGCGAGAGCAAAGATCCATCGGGGTCAGGACCTGTCAGAGATGCAGCTCCTGGAGGTCGCCAAGAAGTTTGGGTCAGAGTGGAGGGAGGCCGGCATCTTCTTAGGCTTACTGACCAAAGATCTGGATGACATCCGGGAGACAGAGCCGAGTGTGACCATGCAGAAGCATAGGATGCTGGTCAAGTGGAAGAACAGTAAGAGGCAAGGAGAAGCTACTGCGTCTGCCCTGTTGGAAAGTTTGAAAGATATGGAAAACTTGTCCACTTATGTTCGCAACATTCTGCAAGGTAAGGTCTAAAAATTTCATCCACTCTTTAAGTTTTCTAAAGGTTTCAAAGTTGTACTTTAAACTTGGACTTATGTATTATTAGAGTTGAGGCATTTAATCTGTTTACAGCAGTGCATTGTGCAAAGTCTGCTCAAAAATTCATAATATTCCAGTGGTAAATTATTGTTGCTGTCATACAATTTATTTTTATGTTGCCCTGGTTACAGCTTTCCCAGCGTTGCCCTCCTTCTCTGCTCCTCTCATTAACTTTAGTCTGATGTTTGATTATTTATCCAATTCATACTTTTGTTGTTTATTCCTCCAACAAAAGTCCAAACCAGTATACAAAATATTTAACCAATGTCCATAAAATATTGAAAAGAAGCACATAGTGGGCCTGTAACCTTTGCAGCTCTAAGCAGGTAAAGAGAAAGTGACAGCCAAATAATTAAATGTTGATTTCTTTTCTGTTGTGTCTGCTTTCAGATTTAATGAAAGCAGACGATGAATACATGGACGAATAATCTTCTACATTAAAAACTGATTCAAAAACCAGTAAAACATTTGCTGACTGCAGCAAGAATCTCAGGAGTGCAATGAAGTGTCATTGACAAGTGGACCAAACTTCATTTCTCTTTCGTTTTTATTTTCTACACACTAAACAACAATTGTGTTTCCACTTAAAATGTGCCAAAATCTGTATCCTGTAACATGATGGCTTCCTAAATGATTTACACCCAAATGGTTCTATTTGTGAAGCTGCTGGACAGTGTATGAATGTGTGAATACCATATTAGGTAAAATCCTGAGGAATATTTAGCAAAGCAGCATTAAAACAGATTCATATTCTTGAAGTGAATTATGCCATTGTTTACTCATCATGTGACTGTGACTCAGTGGAAAGAATAATGCAATTGGGTGAATCTGGTTGCATAAAGTGTGGTCAGTATAAAAAAAGTGCTACATAGAAATTTGATCTAATTGCCATTTATGTTTACCATGTTCATTATATATCGTTTTATCCACTACAATTTTTTATTTTATTTTATTCGTAATCAATTTTTATACACCTGTTAACTGCATGGATTAGGTTTTCTATTGTGTACCAGACAAGAATAAATATGTTGTATTTGTAAACTAAACCAGTCTGATGTATTCATTACATCAGACAGCGGTAAATTGAACATTTATAGGCTAACTGAGTTTTTGTTTAGTCTAAGCACATTTTGGAAACTATTTGGAAAATCTAATGGAAAGATTTGCAATAACTGTTAATTGGAAAAAGGAAACATTGCTGTAAACACTGCAGAGTTGTTTTAGTAAATAATATGAAATTTTCAATGTGTAAACACTGGTACAAAAGAGCTAAAGATGCAAAATTTGCCATATTGTCCATTTTTGTCTTATTTTCAGAAGAGTTTTTGACATTACTTTTCTTTTTCAAAAGACTTCATATAACTAACTCAACCAACAAGCAATCCATGGCATACTTATGCACCATTTTACACAAAATAAAATTGTCTACATGTACACGCACTTTTGTTGTTACAGCTTCTATACTGATATGTAAAACCTGAGACAAATAAATGTCTCATTTTCTCTATACAAACAGGTGAATGTGTTAAATCTCCAAATCAATGTAGAGTTCTGAAATAAAAAGTTATTACTTTTGCAAATCAGCTTTGTTGTTTTGCTAATTAAAAAAAGTCTTGTGATACAAAGCCTGTCTTTATTTGGCACTTTCGGCACTAGAACTGAAAAACTGATGCTAACTTTGCATGGAGTTTGCTGCACGGCCAGCATAAATAATCACTCTTAATAAGAGCAACAAACACTAAAAAAACACTAGCTGCAAGAAATGTATATTAAAACTACATACTTCAATTTAAAAAAAACAAAGGAATTCATGTTAATTGAGCTAAGCATTTAAAGTTTTTTCTGATTGATTAATTGATTAAAAATCCTATTTTGACAAATGTTGAGAAGAAAAGGGTTTTTATGACATTATTTGAAGCTAAAGCTACAGTAGGTAGTTTTGGTAAAAATGTATTTTATATAACATATATATATATAAAACCCCTCAAAACAAAACACTATTTTCTTTATGTTGTAAGAACACACGGCTGCTTTTTAAAAAAAATTATTACTGTCTCTACTGTCTTTTCAGTTTGATCCATTCAGCCATTTTTAATAATTGTCACTATAAAAAACAGTGAGTTCACGTATTGACGCTGTCCCACATTCCTGGTTGCTTTGTGAACACGCATTATGATTGTGGGTTTGTTGAATGTCTGTCACCTCATGCTGCCGTTGCTCTGTGCTCCAGTAGTCGTCTTGCTTTCCCCCCTCATGGTTTCATTCTTACTTCCTGTTTGTGGTCTGTAGCAAATGATGTGGTCTCGTTTTATACCCAGAAATGTCTTCTCGTGTACTTCTCTGTTCTTGTGAAGCACGAAAAGGCCGAATTTAGCACGTGACTACCAACTCTGTTTAAATGATCAAATATGATTGTTTGATGGACTGAATTTAAATCAACAATCTATTTTATTGTCTAAACAGCAAATATTAAGATAAAATATTAATAAAAATTCTTATTCATGACTCAATAAAGGAACCAGTAATATTTCCACCAAAGCCATATTTGCTTGGATAATCTTTCCCCCTAAATTAGATACCATTGACATTTGCAAACCGCAGTTTGTGTTAACTCAGATTAGCTTTTTCTGACGTTAAAACTGAATCAATTGAAGCATTACAGCGTGCAAAACCACAAAAAACACCAAAGTAGGAAAAGTGTTTTTCACATAGACATAGTTATGTGAAAAGGTAACTGAGAAAAGTGAGTCTGGAAAACGTATGCCATTCAACAAACGTGGGAACTTTATTTGAAATACGCCTCAGCTTTCTAGATATTTTCACAAAACACTGCTTCCAGATCAAATAAATTAATAAGTTAATACAAATACAAATAAATAATAAATAAATAAATTAGATGGAATAGTGGAATATATTCATAAACTGACACCGGGCCAATATGGCCGTTCTTAGCCTTAGTGGCAGACTGGCGGACCCTTGGCTCTTACAAAGAGAAGAGGCTCCACACACATAGCTTATGCCTGAGCAGCTTCGTTTTGGCGGTGAGCGCCACGCGTTCAGTAGCTTTGGACGACAGCGAGTTGACCTTTGGGGGTTCGGCGGTAAATCGTATGGAGGGAAGACAGGACCGACGGTGTTGAAGCTTCGGTTCGTCTACTTCCTGAAGTCCCCCGAGGAGATGTAGCCCACGGCTCGGTTGATGGTGATGGCACGAACGTGGAAGCCTCTCATCATCTTGCACATCTTCTGCCGGTTCGCGTAGGAGGTGTTTCCCCAGCGACCGGGTGCGTCCTAAACACAGGACAGGCAGAAGAATGACGATTGTGCTGACAACAGGAATTCCCTTTCAAAATAATTACAAGAAAACCCTAATCCCCCTGAGAGGATTAGACGAAAAACAAAACTTAACCAAAAATAAACAGTGGTGTAAATGGGGAACAAACACAAAATGACTAGAAACACAAGAAAAACCAAAAAAAAAAAAAATACCTCAGAAGGGTTGTGCTCTCCTGTTTCCTTCGGGGAGCAGTTCTGTGCAAACCAAGAAAAAGATGTTATCATGCAACTTCCATTCTCCAAATTTCCCTACCGACTCCTTCAGCGTCACATGTTTATCGCGTCGCCGCGTGTCCGACGGCTCTGACTGACCTCCCTCAGGTCCCGAATGATTCCCAGAGTCGGACTCAGAAGTGGGATTTCCGTCTCAGGCCTGTGGAGGGGGGTCTTCAGGTAGGTTTCAATAGCGGTACGGTAGTAGGCTAAATCCCTCATGATGTTCATCACACACTCATTCTGTCAGGACAGGAATAATGAAAGAAAACATGACTTATGCTTGATTTCATTGTGTCCGAAAATCAGCCTTTTGAAAGCGAGTTGCATCCACAGCGTACCTCACTGAAGGATGAATTGATCAGCGTGGAGCAGCCGGAGCTCTGAGGGGAAAGAACACATTTCTTACATGAGTTTTTGTTGTTGCTCTTGTGGAGTTTACATTTCTGGTCAGCACAGAGACCACAGCAACAATGAAACTGTAAATAAAGCTGAAACCAGCTCCGTGTGTCTGTTTTTATTTGGTAGAAACTGATTCTGAAACTTATTCATGCAGTCTTTTAACTGCATTAAGCAACAAAGAATTACTGTGGTTTTTTTTGTTAGTTGTTTTATTATTGTTTGGTCTAATAATAAACGCATTTTCACTTGGAACGAAAGGGCCGGATATGGCAGAAAGTATTCATGCAGCTCCCCATTAATAGACTGTTAAAATAGTAAAGCTTTCTCTGCATTCAATTAATACTAATTAAAAAAATCAAACACTATCTAACACTTAAGTAATGTGGCACGACACAAATAATAATAATAAAAAATATATGTAAGCACACAGCAGTTATCTTGAAGTTCTGCTTCAGTGGCCACAGAAACAGCAACGGCGGGCCCGGTTTGGCCCACGAACCTTCGGTTTTGACGCGTGCGTTACAGATTCTTTCTCAATGTATTTTGAAGTTATTTGAATGTCATTTGCGAGCCGGAGGACAACTTCTGACTCTGCAGTGTTTCACATCCCGCTGCTCTGGGGACCCAACCAGCAGGCAAAGACGACAAACAGAAACTACACGAATGTCTTGTTGTTCACCTGAGTGGAGGCGGGACTGCAGGTCCGCACCGTCTCGCTGCTCCTCAGTGGCATCTCACTGGATTTGATCAAGCTGAAACACAAATCTTCCTGCAACACAAACATTTACATTTATTTTATATAGTTATTTTTTATTCATCTTGACGGGGATTATAGTTGAATAATAAGTTGTTAAAAACAAACAACAACAACAAAAAAAAAGTTCACTCACGCTTTTGAGAACCTCCTTGACGCTCAGCAGGAGGCTCCTGAAGAGACTTGCGCACTGCGCGCTGTTGTTTGCGCTCGGCGGCAGCGGCAGCCCCGTGGATGTGCGCCAGCCGAGCAGCATCAGCATCAGCATCAGCGGCAAGAGGCTGGAGAAGCCTGCAGGAGAAGCCCAAACATCAACACCCGCCATGACATCAGGTTTCGGGCAACCGAAACAACCCAAACGGAACAGAGATAATGACAACGATAAAAGCCATTTCAAAAGCGCATTTGATCATTCGGCTGTCGCTGACTTACCCAAATAGACGCGTCTCATTTTTCGAAGCAGACGGAGGGATCTGATGGATGCTGGTGAAACAGCAACACTGCGCTGCTGCTTTCATCTCAAAGGTTTTTTATACAAACAAGCGGGGAATTCCCGCACCAGCAAGACATAATGTAATTTCCAAAGGGTTGCTCCTTGATTATTCTGCAGGAGGGGTCTGACTGCAGTCTGTAAATTGAGTGGATGAAACACATCTATCTATCTATCTATCTATCTATCTATCTATCTATCTATCTATCTATCTATCTATCTATCTATCTATCTATCTATCTATCTATCTATCTATCTATCTATCTATCTATCTATCTATCTATCTATCTATCTATCTATCTATCTATCTATCTATCCATCCATCCATCCATCCATCCATCCATCCATCCATCCATCCATCCATCCATCCATCCATCCATCCATCCATCCATCCATCCATCCATTCATCCATCCATCCATCCATCCATCTTGGCTAATGTCTTCAGAAGTTTCACAGAATGCACTGTTACTTTCTAGTGAGAGAAAAAAAAATTCTGGTGGTTGAACAGAGAATCCCAAACCAACCCACACCACAACTTGCTGCAAAATGAAAATGTTGTATAAACCATGTATTTGTGGAGCAGTTCATCCATGAGGGAAACCCAGCACCATCCTCCTGACCTCGTTCTGGGGAACTCCGAGCCTTTCACAGGCTACAAGATGTCTCTCAAACGTTGTCCACAAATCTGTGTTGGTGAACGTTTTTGCTTTGTGAAGAGAGTCCATCCCACCTCACAGGTGTGTTATATCAAGATGCTAATTAGACTCGACAGCATGATTACTGGACAGACGTTCAATAGGTTAGTCGTGACAAAAGGAAACTCTGAATTCTGCAGTTTTGCTTTTATTTTGGGTTGTGGGGAGTTTGGCAGGGTAAGAAAACCCATCAGTATTTGGTGTTTCCACCATTTGCCTCATGCGGTACATCTTCGCATATTGACAGGTTGTTGATTGTGGCCTGTGGGATATTGGTCCACTCGTCTCCAGTGACTGCTGGAAGTTGCTGGATGTTGGCAGGAAGTAGAACACGCTGATGCAGAGCATCTCAAATATGAACTGGGATGTTAGCAGCGTCCAGTAGCTATATCAAGATCCTGGCAACATGGGGTCAAACATCATCATGCGGCAACATGAGGTGAAGGTCAAACTAATGGGGCATCTTGGTGTGTTCAAAATGCTGTCAATAAAATAGTTAACAGAGCATCGTCATCCACCGCCATGGGCCACTGTATTTATAACATCAACATCACCCACACAACGCCACGCATGCTGTCTGCCGTCTGAACAGTGAAGACTGGGAACACCTCCCCAGTCAAACGTGAGCATTTTCCATATCAAATTGGTTACAATGACAAAGTGCGGTCAAGTCAGGACCCTAATGAGGATGACGGAAATCCAAATGAGCTTCCTCAAGACTGTTTCTGACATTTTGTAAAGGAACTGCGTGGCTTTGCAAACCGATCGTGGAAGCTGCTGTGCAGGCGGCCATCCTCAGACGATCTCTCGAGTGATCAGGTGTACTGTGGTGTTACATGTGGTCTGTGGCTGTGAACATGATGATTGCGCTCTCTCTCAAAACCTGCAACATCTGTGACAAAGCTGCAGATTTCAGAGTGGCCTCCTTGTGGTGCTAATCCTGCTGTCCAGTCAGTGTCCTGATGCCTGTAAGGCAAGATGAATTATCTCAACGAGGGGAGAAAGTGTTCACTAACTCGGATTTAGGCCAATTTGTGAACAATTCACACACACGCACGGCTCACAGAGCGTTTGAAGGGAAATGCATTTCTTTGAAACTAGTTCTCTGCATGTGGCTGCAGGAGTTTCCTGCTCTTTGTGCACAATGACCACAGGACTGTTGAACAGTGAAACTCGACGTCCCTGTATGAGTTGCAGGATGTGTTCAGGTGTACGACCCACCAGGAGAAAGCGCTTTACCTAAAAAAAACTAAAACTTTTATTCATCACAAAACATTCAAGTCATACAGATTTATCTCGGTGCGGTTTGGTGCCTCACCACAAGTGAACTTTATGTTATACATTTCCAGATCAACCGGTGGTCATTTGGCTGAGAGAAAAATTCTTGATAATGACTTTAAAAGGGGTTGTCCAAATTAATCCGCAGTCACCTTGAGAAGAAGAAGACGACGGCGAAGAAAAACAGCTTGTCTCAATAAATGACATGGTGAAGTAAGATGACAAAAAAGCAGCAGCTGAGTCACGGTACGTAATATCACTTCTTAGAAAGAGGAAGCTGAGGAAGCTCTGCTGACGAACTGCACAGGCCAAGAAATACGAAACCAAGTTTATTCTTTATTTTACATTTCTGTACATAAACATTTCTTTCTCTCAAATAAAGCATCTGAATACAGCAGGATGAAAATGATATTAAACACACTTATTCATTTGAAATGACTCATGTCAGAAAGAATCAACATTCACAAAATGCTGATAGAGCAATTCAGAGTGAACGTGTTACCAGTCTACGACTCCACTACAAAGCAGGCATGTTTCCTTTACACTCGTTTTTAGCACCTTCGGACAAATGTTTCTCAGTTGAAAACTACCATTTGTGCAGAATAAAAACGGTTCAACTTTTTGAGTCCAACTTAAAAATGTTCTGAAGAAATTCGTTTTCAGTTTTCTCGTCATACAGTGTTTTTCTTTGTTTTTTTTTCTTTTCATGATTGACTTTCTACTAAAGTTTGAACTATTATTTGATTTTTTTTCCACACTTTTTTTTTTTTTAACATTTTTATCTTTTTTTGCATCTGAACAGGTATAATTTAGTGGCGAATGTAGAAAGTCGAAAAGAAACAGTAGCAAAGCAAGGCCGACGACTGCACAGGAAGCTGGGGGAAAGAATCTATGACGACACACGATCGGTTCTCCTCTTCTCCCAGGAAGCAGGACGCGCTGCTCCATCCTTCGGCGCCGGGAGAAGCAGTTAAAAGAGAGTGTTTTTGTTTTTTTCTTCGTCTTTTTTTTTCTTCTTCTGTGATGTTGCTACCAGTGAAGTCAGTGAGTTGGTAGAAGGCAGGGAAGTGTGGGGGGAGGAAGGAGCAAAAATACTTGGGGCAGGCAGGGAGGTTTTGGATAGACACGGGGTGCAGAGGAAGTGATCCAGGGAGGAAAGGTTTCATCTCGGCAGAAGGGAAACAGACGGGAGCGGAGACAGGGAAAAGGACGGGCGTCTTATTTGGACAGGGTCCTCTCAGCCAAATGTTTCTGCTGGCTCTCAGCATGCCTGGGAAGAAGAAAGCACAAGTAAAAGATTTTGAGTGAAATGTACTTTTTTTTTTTTTGATGTTGAAGCGCAAAATTAAAAATGGCGGAAGATGCAGTAAGTTGAATTTTTATGAACGGATGAACAAAATAATCGACTATTTACCTTACACCATGCTTTTCACAGACATTGTCACTAAACACAGCATGACATTGAGATATAATTTCATAAAAATAACAGAAAACAAAAACTAATGCATACAAATAAAATTCATGTTATCAAAGGATTGCTGAGAAACTGGTAATGAAAAAATAGCTTAACGGCAGAACAATATTATGCTACTGTTAAAGCTAGAGGAGGCTACTCTAAAGACTTTTATGATAAAAATGTATTTTTTAAAAACTAATTCAAACTTGTGGTGCTTTAAAATGAACATTCTGCAGGGAAATTTCAGGGTTTTACTGGTTTTTATCAACGGTCTTTAACAATAATATCAGTCGACTGCTCCAAATATGGATAAGGACCAAAATAAATGGAAAAGATAATAAAAATAATATCAAACCAAAATTAGAAAATTAGAAAAAACCAGAAAAAACCATGAAGGGATGGATTTATCTGGAGATGATTTGTCCACATGCACAGTGCCTTCAATTAACATTTGTTGAAATTTAGTACAACTTAGATGAACTAAAACTGAACTAAAAGATGGATTAGAGTTCAACATCACTGATAAAAGTGCTGAGGAAATGAATATCCTGAAGGTGACATGTTGCCTGAATCCAGCGTGATCCGACAGGAAGGAAACGACCTTGGATTGGATGTTGAAAAACATTTTGTTTCAATTCAATTTCATGTTTAAAAGTAACTAAAGTAATCAGTTTCTTAGGATAATGTGAGACTTTTATGAAAATGAAAGTAACAAAAAGTTGGCCAAAGCATTAAGATGGTCAACGTTCTCGGCTGAGATATTGTTTGATGACACAAAAATGAAAAATAAACAAATGTGGAAAGATTGGAAAAAGTTTTCATTTTTTATCTTTATTGGTTCGTGTTTTACAAGACAGGATACCAACCGAGATGAGACGCAAAAGGGTTTTTAATCTGAAAACAAACCGAACTGGACCAATCACGACCGCCACCAACAGATGTGGACGTTTAATGTGTCTTAGCTGGGAAACATCTTAGTCATAAAATTAACACAGAACGGGGGAAGTGGATTTTTGCTTTGATGAAATTGAATCCTGCTCCACTGGTGACAGCAGTAAAGATGATCGTGTACAGTCAGGGGAACTCCACAGACTTAACAAGTCAGCGTTAACAAAGTTATCAAGTGAGAAATGTTGCAATCAGTTGATAATTATTATATAACAGTCTTTTTTCTTCTTCTTTTTAACCAATGACGACGAATCTATCAAGAAAATTATTGCACTGACTGGCAATGAGTCATTTGTTTTAATTACCCCCCAGGAGGGTTTTTGACCTGCTGAAGGTCATACCACAGCATCTCAACTTTCTGACTTTGAATAGGCCACGTAAAAACTTCAATTTGTTTTGTATTTTTGAAAGCCATTCAAATGCGATTCTATTGATGTGCTTTTGATTTCTACCCTGCTGCATAATTCAGGTATGGCTGAGTTTCAGGTTTCAAACTGATAACTGGACATCTACTTAAGTGGCTCCTTTATTTAAAAGGCCAGACCTGATCAGTCCTGTATGTGAATGACAAAAAAACTTATAGAAAAAAAGTGGATTTTTACAGTTTATTTATCAGTCAAAAGTCTCATTTAATGTGTTGTCACCTGGTGAGGTCCTCAATGTCAACCAGCATGGCGTCTTGCTCCATATGAAGCTCATCCCGAATCAGTAGCAACTGTACAAGCTCCTCATTCAGACCTGCAGTGATATGCATGGAGACACACACATTAGTGTAAAGACGAATTTGTCGAGGGTGAATTAAGTCAGACAGACGAGTAGAATAGACCCAGTTTCCAAATATACTTTTCCTTTGACGATACGACTGTTTGCCTCTGTGTTTGATGGCGTTCCTTCTAGTTTTGCAACAGCACAACATTCACATTTCTAAGAAAGAATAATTAGTCATACACTAAAAATATGATGTCAGCTAATTTTTCAAAGCACTGAAAAAAAAATAATCCAGTGAATAGACCAGAAATAATGTTTCATATGAATGTACATAGTAACACTTTTAGACCTAAAATTTATTTTTATGGTATTTTTTAAATTATTTTTAAGGGTCTGCAGGAACCTTGGGATATTTACCTTACTTTAAATAATGTTTTTAAAAACAAAAACGGTTTGTCAAAAGCTGACACGTCAATGGCATGCGCTCCTCTTCATATCACATGTCTTAGCTGCTTTCCCCAGAAAATAAAACAACAAAATGCTGAAGAGTTCTAAAAAGGGGAAAGCTGCTTTTGTAGACGAGAACTTTTTTTGTGATTTGGGACTCATGGGGATTTTTGAAAGGTTTAGATGTAAAAATGCTCGATTATTCATCTATGGATACCAGGATCAATGAGGTATACAGAGCGGTAACAGTAAGCGCTCAGGGGAAGCTGCTGACTGGTACTGTACAGCTGCAAAGTGACTAATATATAGTCGAGTACTTTCACATCTACCGTGGAGGGGCAAGGGGTCAGTGTGTTCATGCTGGTGTTTCCCCCATTTGTCTTCTTGCTCATTTCTGCCAGTGAAAGCAGAGGTCAGCGACTCGGTGTGTTCACTTACTTTCAATCTGGGAATGCAGGTCGTTGACTATAACCTGAAGCTGCCCCAGCGTCATGTCTCTCAAGTCGGTGGGTTTCAGGCTTCTTTTCATTAGACACTCGCTGATATGAGGCATGTGTGGAAGCTGATGGAAGGGAAAACAGAATCATTCATTAGGCTTTTTGTTTTCTCTCGAAACAATTTTTTGTTGAAACCAGCTTAATTATTGCAAATATAAAGTTAATAATGAAATGAAAGACAAAATAAATAAAGCAGAATAAGTTAAAAGGAGTCTTGTAACATAAATATTGTTAAAGCTGCAGTGTGTAACTTTTATAAAAAAAATGTTTTTATGTAATTTTTAAAAGTGTCGCCATGTGATGACAGTACAGTGTCCTCCACTTCCTCCTGGTGCTGCTATTGTGGTGTGCAAAAATTGAATGCTCCTGGTGAAAAACAACCTATCAGTCAGGAAGAAGGTCTTAATGCTGTCAATCAACTCATGCATGCGCTGCTCAATGGACTAACGGTGGAGAAACTACTTACTCTTACAGGGAAATTGTTTATCCACCATCATCAGTGGCTATTATGCTTAGCATGGCCAGTGACTGTGCTAACGAGCCACAGCAGAGATTGCATTCATGGAAGTCTGTGTAGCAGAGAGGAAGTGAGAGACGCACATATACAAAGGTGATTGACAGCGCTAAGATTCTCCTCCATATTTGTGAATATTGCAGCAGGACCACCGGGAGATTAGCTCCATGTTTCCAGAGAGTATCTGGTTTATATTTTTCTACAGCAAACGTAGTAACTGTTTTAACACATATATACATAAAAAACTAATTTGTCATAAAAGTTACACACTGCTGCTTTCAAGTAAAAACTGAAAAGATTGTCTGTCTATGACGCCTTTTCAATTAATTTCTAGATTTTCTTGTACAGCCTTCTAAATCTAGGAATTTCCTTAGACAGTACTAATGCAAACAGGGTTCAAAATGAAAATATAGCAAATTAAAAATGGGATAAGCAAACAAAACAAGCAGAGCATTTACTGAAAGGATTTTTAAAAATCTTTTTAAGTTGTCATCTTTTAATCTTTTTTAATATCAAAAATCAATTCCTACAAAACTAAAGGGCTTCTGAATGTGTTTTTTTTCTGCATGTCCAGCGGTTTGTTTCGTATTTGCAGTCATCTGCAGAGTGAAAGCAGTAAAATTTACCAAGCTCTCAGGAAAACTCTGGGGGGGAAAAAAACGGTTCCTTTGTGAATCCTGCTGCTCTCGCCCGACCCATGGAAACCGTTTCTCTTTCTATTAAACTCTGTTCACCTGCAGCGCAGGAGGGAAAACGCTCCATGCATCTTCCTTTGTGCACAAGTGCTTCCCTAAACTCTTTCACTTTCACAAATATAGCTGGAGTCAGTTTTACACGAGGCACGACGTAACAGTTTCAGTTTCGGGAAGCTGCGTGACGTCCGGAGTGAGTGGGATACATGAAACATGGCGGCGTTAGCGTTGACTCAGCTGCTGAGTGTTGGTGTTAGTTTCTGTGGTTGGGCTAATCATACCGCTGATTGAAAGTAACCCTTTCAGAGCTCGATACCACAGGGGTTATACTGAGAAAGTTTGCTAATTTCTGAATGAAGCTGAGGTTATAGAAGAAGTTCTAATAAGGGTTCTGATACCTTTTTTTTCTTCCCCTTTTGGTTATATTCTCTTGTTTTCTATCAGTGATATATTTTAGTTTTTTGTATGTATGTTTAGGAAAACCCAAGTCTCAGCACGTAAGCTATAGTTGACGCTCTCATTATTTGTCACTGAGAAGAAGACAGGAAAATCCAGGCTGGTTGTAATTAAACTGGGAAAATTAAGGTGGTAGACGAGAGGAGAGGGTGATTCCTAAACGTTGTTGTTTGGGTAATGTGAACATCCACAAATTTTCCAGCAGGAATTTTAATTTAACTCGGTCTTTTTTTAAGTGCTTTTTCTCAGATCAACCTGCCACATGAAAGCATCGATTTAAAAGACCTCTGTTAGAATCATTATGTGTTGTTATCACTCTTACATGAGTAGTTTTACGCTACTAGTTTGTTTTTTTCATTTAAAGGTTTTAACTTCCTATTGCGCGTGTGAACCGATGCTGTGTTGAAACTTCCCACATATTTGCAGAATGTCTCTGTAGCACGTTTATCTCTAACAGCAGAACGTTCCCTCGCCCTCGTGAGAAAGAAAACTGTGCAAGGACAAAACTTCCTTCCTTCTTTTTTTTCCCCCCTTCCCTGCTAATACAAGACAAGCTCTTACTGAAGGTTTTCAGAACGCACGGTGAGCAGCTTGTAGGAGCGGCGTGCTGCGTCTTCTCCTTTTTGCACAAGCTTGGTTGAAAACGAATGAACATTGTCTGTAGTTCTTTTGTATGTAGGTTAAGAAAATACCTATCAACCCCTACTGCTGTAAAAAAAAAAAAAAAAAAAAGAAAGAAAGAGCAGGCCGCTGCAGCTTAAAAACGCCTCAACATTCACCGCGTGATTCGTTCGGATGTGACAGTAATGTCCTCTGACTGCGGAGCACAACTACATCCCCGAACGGCCAAACCAATGCTTTCCGGCGTATGAATTATAGATGGACCCTGCTCTCCTCTGAATAAGTAAATCGGCTCTGAGAAATATTGCGTGACACTGTACATGTGTGTGTGTGTGTGAATGCGCTCCAGAGGAGAAGGCAGATCAAAATGCAGGAAATAAAGATGAGAGGGGTCGCAGTCACCTTCCCTTCTCTAAACGGGGTGGAACAAAGAGGGAATAAAAGAACTGCGCGGCGACTTTGACCGGATGATGTTTTACTGGGTTAAAGTGTGAGATGGAACGTGTCGATAAAATGTGGCGTCTGAAGATTGATGTAGAAGTGGTGTAAAGAGACTCAGTGCCGTTTTGAGGAGCTGCAAAACATTGAAAAATCTCACACAAACATACGTCAGGTCAAAGACTGCATCTGATTAAATAAGTCCAGGTGATCTAATCAGCTTGGAATTGTGAAATTTCTACAATCAGGTAGAAGAAAACATATGCTTTAAAAAAAACAAGATAAGTTGTGACTTTATCCCAAAAGTATGCCCTCTAATAAAAAACATAAAATAAACTAATGTTTTATTAGTTATGAAACATTAACTAATGTTAAGTTTAGACCTTCATCTTAAACTCTCTCATTCAGATTTAGCACCTGTTAAAAGGGAAATTTTATCTTATGGGCTAAAGTATGACTGTGTTGAACTTTGGTTTCTAAAGTCTTATGACTGAAGTCAGGGGTTATGTTATGTCTTTAAATTATTCTTATGAGCTTTGTGTGTAATACTGGCCTCCTTTCTGTTGAGGGTGGCAGAGGGTTGCCAGTTTGATCCCCCGCTTGGCCAGGGTTGCGTTTCCTGGCCAAACCAACCTTGCCTGCTGGTGGTGGTCATACACAAGAAAGCCAACTTGCATCCGTCAGTGTGAATATGTGAATATGTGTATGAATGTCTGATGAAGAGCTTTGGAGTCCTCTGACTTGATAAAGTCCTGTACAAGTGGAGACCATTGACCATCTGAACCACTTTGAAGGTGGCCTGATATTTTAGATAAACAGAAGTCAGCTCTCACAGCTGTCCGTCCAGTGTGTCTTATTATTGATTTTGTCTTGTCCTTATGGTGCAAAATATATGCTTTGAACTCTGTAAGTCAGCTGACATTCTGACTGAGTGCTTTCTGACACACTAGCTATAGTTCACCAATTGTCATGTGAATTTTGAGTCAACTTTTAAAATGCTGCAAAAAAGACAAAAGGAAAATGCAAATTAGATGTTTCCAGCTTCTGGTCTGAATCAACCAAGCTACGAAAAGCGTCTTTTTGTCAGATATTGAGGTGATGCACGGCCGTGATAAACAAAGTGTAGAGGTTGCAAACTAGCATGGATCACACGTTTCAGGAAAGCGGGGAGAAGTTTTCAGAAATGTGCTGCTGGCCAAGTTTTACCTGAACAACTAGTATTGGTGATGTCACAAGTTGTGACATCGGAGTGAGGAAAACATTTGTTAAGTTAGGACTTATTTGGCAAATGTGTTTTCATCTTCCCATAACTCTTTTATGGAACAGAAACAATAACCACCTCAAATGTAAAAATGTATTTGTGAAATTGAGGAAGTTATTTCAAACTTTGCTGTTTTTAATCAATCTTTTCTAATGCGTTACTTCAAAATGTGAGTTATATTTTTGCCTCCTCTTTGCTCTCATTTTATGCTGGATTTCTGTTACACTTTAACTAAACTTTGACCTTTTCAATAAGACACCTTCATTTGCAGATGATTGTGAAGTTGTATGTATATATAGATTAAAATATAATTAGATTAGATGAGCATTAATTTAATTTTACTGTTGCTGTTTTTTTATTTCTATTTGTAATTTTCCATATTTCTGGGGCTGCCAATGAAAATTAGCAAGACGATGAATCTGATATGATGCATTTTTTCCATTATGCAGAAAGATTAGTGTGCTTTGCTGTATTTATAATGTCTTTTGCTCTATTTAAAGCAGCAGGTTAGGCTATATCAAACAAATATTGCAATGACACCACTTATTCCATACATGTGATCTGATTTTGATTAATAGTTTTACACAAATCACATGTTTTTGTATCATTTTTAAGAGGCCAGGATCAAAGATCCATCTTTCCCGTCTCTGTGAAACCTTCTGCGTTTTGTGTTACTGACCAGGTCGGCCACTGGCGACTTTTTGCGGTTCTGTTTCTCCACCTCCACCTGCATCTTGGCCATGGGCTTGGCCATCGCCAGGGCCAGCTTGGCCTCCGCCTGCAGCTTCTTCTGCCGACTCAAAAAGTCCATGTCCTCCAGGGACTCCGAGTCGTCCTCCGTGGTGTCCCTGTCCGAGTAGGAGGAGCTCTGCTTGGACTGCGGAGGAAAACATGCAGGAGGGGAGGGAAAGCAAAAGTGAAAGAGAAGGTGAATGGGAAATGAAAGAGCGTGTGGGAAAACATGAGAGAGAGACAGAGAGAGTGAGATTATAAAGAGAAAAGCTGTCATTTGACTGTGTGAAATTATGAACTGGGATATAAAAATAATTTCTCAACCTTCATCAGTTCCATGAAGCGGACAAAAGGTGAAGTGAAACCCATGTTTTACAGTCCTTTCAAGCAATTCCCTTTTTTAAAATTGATGTGGCTAACGAGCAACAAAGAAGCAAGCAGAGTGCCCGTTATAGCTCTGATTCATAGGAAATATCTTACCTATTTCACAGCTTTCATTCTCACTTTGTCTTCCTATTTTTGGACTCTGAAAAATAGCTAACGAGAGCTCTGAAAAATAACAATAGTTGTGAAAGTTGCACCTTCAACTTTTCACAGCCATCAGCGGTGAGCACATTTCCACTAATCCACCCTTGCACTAATAGCAGTAGCATTTGCTAACTTTGAAAAAAAGCTCAGCGCATTCAGCTTCCCCTGAATTAATTTTTCCAGGTAAATTCCAAAGCACCAAATAAAGTTTGTGTTGAAGTTTTGGTTTATATTGACGCTCTTATTTCAAAGTGGGTGCTTGCTGTTTTCCCCCCCAATAACTATTTCAAACACAAGACATGAAGGAACAAAATGAGACATGGACAGATGAACAAGATATTAACAGGGATTCAACATATATATGAATTAAAGAGCATGTAAATTATAATGTCAAAATTAAAAGTATTTGAAAGGCAGATATAATTTGAATAGTTTGAGGATTTAAACTTGATTTGAAGGATACTAGAATGGAGTCTTATGGATGACCGACGTCAAAATCTGGAAATTAAGTTTTTGTTGCAGATGTTTGAAGGTGTGAATTTGACGTTTTACCTAAATTATGCAAAAGTTGGCAACGTAAAGTGTTACTAAGATCACATTTTCCACTACAAATTGCTTTTTCATTAGTGAATATAATTTTTAAGCATTTTTTGATGATAAATTTTGTCATGTCCTTCCAGAATGTTCTTTTATAACAACAATCCCAAAACAGACACTCCCCACGTTCCCCGCTCGTGAAGCTTTGCAGCAAACATTTATTCTGTACCCAGAATGCATCGCTGTGGAATGACAGAGTAAACAGTTTTAAATCTACCGATGTCGTTCCTTCTGTCTGACCCAAACCCCACTGTGGTTGATTGGGCAAAATCAAAAAGTGCAGACCTTACAGGTGGGTGTGAAATGACAAATTGGACAAGTGACTATGTTGTTGCCCATGTTGGGTCACTGAGACATGATGGGTAGCTAAATACCATGTTGGTGTTTATGATAACTAACTTCTTAGAGAGGCGCACCCACCACTGAAAGCCATATCTAATTTTTCTTTCACTTCACAATTATGCAACACTTTTCATTCAAGCTATCAAAAGATCCTTTAAAAGCACCAATGTTTAGGGTGATAATATTACAACATGCGAAATGCGTAAACGGGTTTTTGCGCGGTGCCGTCGATCGTACCATGGGGGACAGGGGTGTGTCCAGGCTGGTCTCCGTCTTGCTGTCATCCGCATCGCTGTCCTTGTCGCTGCCGCTGTCATTGACAAAACAGATCTGCAGGTTCATGCCGCTCTGCAGCCTGGAGGGAAACGCAAGAGAACGACCCATGAAATACAAGCAGCGTTTGATGAGTTCAGTTTAGTTCTTTTCCCCAATAACAATAACAGCACTCAGAGTGCTGAGGACATGAGAGAGAGAGAGAAAAACAAAAACAGAAGCTGCTCCTTTTACTGGACCAATAGTGCCGACTGGTCACAATTAAACAGGGCTTGTGTTTTTAATCATCCCTCTTGTTGTCTCCAATGCAGATCGATTCAGGAGGCCCCCGGTGGGTCCGATACAATCCGCTCAGATCCAGAGGTGAGGCGGTGTTGGTGGGGAGGGACGGGTGGCGTTTGTGTCGCGGAAGGGCAGGATATCATTAGGGCGCAGATCCGCCCCACTGCTGATCAATAATCTGCTTATTCATTGCAGTAATTACAAGCCGGGGACGATTGATTACACGGCAAAGATCCATACAGGTCCGCTTAACACAGGACCCGAGCGGCTGGCTGTTGTTTCAATTACCCAGACTTTTCTGGGCTCAAATATTTTTGCTATTTCTTCAAAGGCCAGACTAATGTGTCATTTACAGTACGGTCATGAGTTTCCTGTTATTCGTCAAGGCTAACAAGCAGCTGTGAAAAATCCACATGATTCAAAGAGCAAGAAAACGCCGAACACAGGAGTGTTTACTGGAGACTGGGTTCCAGTAAGGCTCAGTGTCAGAGGTGGCAGTGCTGTGTGTGTGTGTGTGTGTGCGTGTGCATGTAGGTGTGTTCAAGGAAGTGAGAACCACAAAGGCTGATCGGAGTTACTCACGCTGACACGCTCTGCTTTATGTAGGCTTACTGATCTATGACAACAAATCTGAACTTATAGAGTCAACCTTTCCGGATTGATTCTGTTCCTGAAAGTCACGACTGCCACACCAAAAGCCAGTAATTTCTTAAAAAAAAAAAAAAACAAACATAGTGTTTTCCAATAATTAATCACATGGCTGCTGAGCAGAGTAAAACCTCAAAGGTCTCACCGTGAGGACAGACTGGGTTTGCCGCTCTTGCTGCAGCTCGTGTAGATGCCCGGGCCATCGTCGAAGAAACTACCCAGGGCCAGCTTCTGCCTGATTGATTCCCTCTCATTCTTCTGGGCCTGCAGGAGGACAAAATGCAAAATTTAAGGTCATTTATCGGATAACAGGTAATTTAGCTTTAAGAGCAGAAACTTGACAAAGAGACAGAGTTTAGGAATCATCCTCAGTACTTCAAAATCTATCCCAGCTGCAGGTACTTTCTTCCAGAACAAATCACTTAATCAATGCAGCCTTGTCTTAATTCGCAGTAAAGGGTCCAACGTCAAAGAGATACAAAGTGTGGAGTCAGCTGAAGAAAAGAGGCAAACGTGCATTTTATTCCTCAGTTGACCACCAGGTGGGGCTGTTGATTTACTAAACTGCAGTAGAAAAAAAGAGCTTCCCACGATCAGATCCACAGATGACAGAGCAAAAGCATTTCATGTCTTCATTAAACCTGCAAAATTCCCAGAACTTCTGCCGTCTTGTCAAAAACAATCTTGTGTCCCCATCATTGATCTTCCCATGGCCGGGAAGTCCATGGGAAGGTGACGCCATCATAGTTCTTTCGTCTTAAACAGATGCAAGAAGAGCAAGAGTAAGCATGCAGGCATTTAGGTCAAACAAACAAACAAACCTGAAATAAATATCCACCTGATGTGACAGAAAAAGGTGGTGAGCAACTGCAGCAAAGGAGTGAGAGTAACATGGACTTAGTAAACAATCAGATTGGTTTTCTCTGTAGGTTTGTCATTTTTTTTTCTGCTTCTACTTATTAAGGAGCACATTATTCATCCTAAAATGTTGGCATTGAAAGTCAATGTGAATTTTGTTGATCTAAAGCCAGGATGGCGCTGCACTGCACAACCGGCCGTCTGTCCCGCCTGCTTGGATCATTATTTGCTGCTGCCCTGCCTTGAATCTGCTGTCAAGATGTGTCTGCTGAAGTGTGTGTGCGTGTGGACGTGTGTGTGTGTGAGCGGTGCAGATCATTCAGCAAACTCTGCACGAAACAAATGCGAAGCCCACGCTGAATGCATACGACGATGTTTAAAGAAGCTTCTCCAAAACGGAAAACCACTAATACTGATTGGTCTGAAGTCTTTCTAATGCGACTTAACAGGAAGTGACAGAAGTTTTGTGTGAAGCACTTGGTAACACAGTGCTGACCCTACCCCACCTGTTGCTGAGCACACTGCCAGTTGGATAGCAGAAGGACAGCTCCTATCTTTCAGCCCTTCTTTATAAAAAAAAAAAGCAGCAGGTGTATAGTTATGTGAAAACTTAAGGAGAGCCACCGTTCACTCTTAAGAATGTAAGGCGTTTTTAAAAGCTATGAGCGCCATGTCTGTCTGAGAATCTCAGACCAACCCACGCCTCACCCAGGACTTGTGTTTGTCCGATATGCTATCACCATAGTGACAAAGATTACGAGGTGTTCCTTATATCTTTTCCTCACCTTCCAGTTATTTATGATTCAGTCACATCTCTTGTCTCAGCAACTGACTCATCATCTCGCCCAGTTTCCCCGCTGTGTCCCACCTCACTCCGCCAGCCTGCGGCCGCATCAAACCATCATCCTGCTCATTGCTCATCAAGTTGTTTATCACACCTTTTTTCTTTCTCCCACTCCATCCCTCAGCTCCTTCCCTGCGTCCTCATTGTTTACCTCTCCTGACAAATGAACACAGGCGTTGTCAGACGGTTCTATCTCCAAGGACAAAATTACCATAATCCCACTCCACAAGAGAGTCGAAAACACACACACACACACACCGCTGGATCGAAGAGTGGACCTGACTGCTGCTGCTCCTCTGTGTCTCCGTATAAAAGATTGCCCGGCTAATGAAGATGAACATCCTTGAAGGTTACCAGTGGTTTCTCCTCAGAGGCCCAACAAAAAGGCCTGCATGGTAAAGCAGAGGTCAAACACTTTTCCCTACACAAGAATAACTCAGACCGACAAGTGGAAAGCTAACAGTGTCTGTGCTGAAATCTGGAAGAGAAACATTCGCTCAGTCTTTCTTGGCTTTCCGTTACGTTCACAAATGATGGTAGAGAAAAGACTAAAATGAATCCTGGCTTGATTTAAACCTTACAAACAACCCTTTATGCTAAGAGGTTTGGCATGAAATGAAAAACAAAGTTGTTTAAAGTAGGGATTCTGTATAAATAGGAAAATTTGAACCGATACAAAAAACAGATATTAATGTTGCTGTTCTTGCCAATAACCAATATTTACCCGTGTTGTATGTTTAAACTCCTACCGTTTCAACATTATACAATGACCGTCCTGCTGACGTTGCTTCACTGCTTCAGTTGAATACCCACAATCCTTCACTATCACAATCCAGTTCCCTTCCCCTCCAGAAACAAAAATGGCAGCAAATACATTTTCAATAATCTTCTCCAGGTTTTGGGTTTAAATGTGAACAAAGTGAACACTTTTCATTTAAAATAAATAAATACAAAAAATGCTCATTATCCAGTTTGAGCTTAATTGACTCCAAAGGGTGTTTTCAGTTGCTTGGAAAATTCCTGTGATCCATTATATTTACATTTTCAAGACGCATGTGGGAGACGAAAATGCGAGAAAGAATGAGCCTCCCATCGGCTTCCCGGCCTCTGGCACCACAGACATCCAAACTAGATTGCGAGGAACAAAAGTGGGCTAATTTGTGTTTTCCCTCAAGTTCACGAAGCGATTTCCTCTGCTGAAAAAGCCTCACTGACAAAGACAGTCCCCTCCCCTCAAACATCCAGCCACAGGCCCGGCGGTTGATTCAGGCTTGGCGCTGGACGACATGGTGCTCGTTTTAAGGCCGTCGAATCTTCTCTCAAAATCTGTATTGAAAATGTGGGATGAATTCAAACATCTGTACCCCCAAAAAAAGAAGAGCAGCCGCTGTCAGTGCACAAAAACTACTAGATTTGCAGTCCTTGATCATCAGGTTATTATCTCAGTCTAATTGCACCTGGATTTATAAAAATTTCTCACTCTTGCATTTTTTTTCTTACAATTTCCAAATTCTTCATTTGACCTCTTTTTATATTTTTCATACTCTTCCTGTTTCCTGCACAATGGGGGCTTTTCAGCAGCTGAGATCTAACTCTAACAGTGGACTCCTAGGACAAGAGCCCACTGTTAACACACAATCACACACACACAGCACAAATACCACCTTACTTAAGCTCACAAATGGCTTTTAAAGTACACAAAGAAGCGCAATGTGCTGTGATTTGACAGAGTGTATATGGAGCTCACAAGACCTTTCCTATAATGTATTAGTTTTCCAAAATGTTGTACAAAAACCTGTGCTGGTTTCAGTGAAAACTTGTCAACCATTTAAAAGGCAAATATGAAACCAAACAGGAGTGTAGAAAAATACACATTATCATCCAAGCCTATAGCATTAAAAGAGAAAAAGAAATCTCACTTCCTGTGAGATGCTTAAAAAAAAAAGGAGCCTGCAGCAGGTGTGGTTCAGTTCCTCACACAGCCTTGAACGCAACTCAAGGTGCCACACAAACATTTCAAAACAACAAATTGTAGAAAACGTAATAAATAATTCAACTAGTTTTGTCCCTTACAGTATTCTTTTAAAGGGTAATTACCGAACAGTATTCATAAAACAATACACACAAAGTGGAGATGTCAGCACTTCTGCTCAGCCTATCTCTCTCTCTCTGTGTGTGTGTGTGTGTGTGTGTGTGTGTGTGTCTCCCTCCTCTTGTTATCTGAAACCTGTCTTTCTAGGCTGCACAGCATTCCATCCCAGATAAGGGACCCAACCTTTGGCCCCCCTCTTCCAGTTCAGCTGCAGGTCAGTGCAAGACTGCTCCTGTCACTCAGCTCGGAAAAGAACAACTCTCTGAATGGTGGCGGAGGGGAGCTGGGGGTCGGGATGTTAGCAGAAAAGGAGCATGAACCGGGTCTAGACATGACAATGGGTCTGTGAGTCACATGTGGGGTTTCTATCCATGAGACAGTTCAGGGGAAAGACTGGGCAAAGGAATGTTGGTTTTTCTTCTCCAAAGAAAAGGGGAGATTAAGGAATAAAAGCCTGGTTACCCACAAGGTTGTGTGCTACTGCTGGACCAAATACACAAACTCATAAATCCCCATATTTTAGTCTTGGCTGCACTACTGGTGAAATTTTTTCATAATTTTGTCAAATATTCTGTGACTGTCACCAATTGCAGGCGAGTCCAACTCCAGTCTGCAGCTGTTAGAGGTCACCATGCTTCTGATCCGACACGCCATCAAATTATTGTGCTAAACTATAAGGTTCCAATCAAAAAGGTCCGATGCTGCGCCAGTAGGTGGCGATACTGACGTCAATAACGTCAACATTCAAAACGAAGTGATCTCGAAGATGCTTCCCATTTTGCTTTCAACCACAAACCTTTTCAGCTTGCAATCAGAGTGGATAATCTCATTTTTGCAAAACACAAGACACAACGAACCATAAAAACATTCAGTTTGAAGCTGACCGTGGTAGTTAAGCTTAGCATAAAAAACTGAAAGCCATAACCACTGTCAGAGTTTTGAAGCCTATTAATTACAAAAACAAACTATGACCTCTAGATCACACAAATATCCCACCAAGGTTTAAAAACACGTGGTTAAAAAACAACAACAATGCTTTTCCTGTGGTTCCAAGTCCTTTTAGGACTCGATGAAATCAAACAAATTAGCTCATTTTACTCATTTTTGTTTTTTCAAACTTCCTGTCAATTCAATGAAAAGTGAGATAATCTTTTTCCTCAAGATTATCTCACTATGAGAATCTAAAACTGGCAAAATGCAGAGGGACTCAATAGAAATGATCAACTTTCTCTCAGCTGGAAGCATAACATTTTTGACGGTTTGCAATCGATAGAGGCTGTCGCTGAGATTGTCCAATTGGATCAAATTATTTGATTAAACTGTGGTCCTGATTTGGGACATTTTTTTGACAGATCAATATCCCCAGAGACCTGAACTCCTGATTTTCTGTTCAGCTGCTACAGCAACGTTCAGTGAGTGGAAGCTAATTAGCATGTAGCCAATTAGCACACCAATAAGCAAAGTAATGCT